TACAATATCATCTACTATTTTTTCTCCAACCTTTGCATTAAAATCCCCCATTATCAGAGTAATATCATGTTGTTCACATAGCAGTTTTGCTTTCATAACATCTTTATAAAATGTTCCAACTTCTTCGTCGTTGCGTTTTTTATGATTTTTTTTTTTAGTTGCAGGGGCATAAACTTGTATAATGCATATATTAAATAGGTCACCTCTAATCTTTACCATCAACACTCTATCTGACACAGCGTAGTAACTCAACAAACATTCTGCTACCGAGCTCTTCATCATCACGCCCACCCCACTTACTCTTCTTTCACCTCCCGAGTATATGAAATCTCCACCGTCATTCATCGAATGAATACCATTGCCTGGCCATCTAACCTCGCTCAAGCCCATCACATCCAAGCGTATTCTGTCCATCTCTCTCTTCACGTTCGCTATCATTTCAGGCCTGTTCTGGTTCAGCGTTTTGACATTCCAGGTTGCTATCCTCGACCTATCAGAGTTGCGAACAGTCGCTTGCTGACGGACAATGGTCACCCGTTGCTCACGAATATTTTGCCCGGACGGGACAGCTGCGCCTGACTGATCGTCATCAACATCATCATCATCATCGTCGTCGTCGTCATTATCACCACCACCATCATCATCATCATCATCGATTGTGTCAAATCTCTTCATCCTTACTCTAATGCATATGACCACAGGAACATGGTTACTGTCACATGCTACTGGATAAGTTTTCGCTTGGAGCACTGCATTTTTGAACCGTTTATTGATGGTTATATAATCAATCTGATTCCTACATCCATCGCCTGGACTTTTCCACGTCCATAAATCTCGTGGGTGGTGGTCGAACCATGTATTTAGAATAACTTGTCCGTTTTCTTGACACCATTTTACGAATTTATCGCCCCTCTCATTTCTGTCTCCTAAGCCATATGCTCCTACAATATCATCTACTCTTTCTCTTCCAACTTTTGCATTAAAATCCCTCATTATCAGAGTAATATCATGTTGTTTACATTGCACTTTTGCTTTCATAACATCTTCATAAAATGTT